TGAAGTATGATCCGGCAGTTATAATGTTTTAAACCATGGCCGTTCCGTTAATAAAAGAATATGAATCACCGAGCGTTCGGTACTTTTGCTAACTCAAACACCCCGCCAAATTATTGACTAAATTACGTTGGACCTATAAAATTGGTCGCTAATTAAATCTAACGCTTTGGTGTGCACATTCTGGCACGCAAGATTTTGTGTCGATAATGGTTCACGGCCACAAGCCACAATTGCAATTATTGTATTTTAATATATCATTAATATAAATTTACAAGCAAAAGGTGAAGAATTACTGGCGCACATGCTAGTATGTCAATAAATGAATAATGTGGCATAAATTGGATCAAGTATCATAAGTACACTCACCGCCTGAGCGACCCACAGCAGGCGTTCATGATGCTGTTCTTGTCGTGCGGCCAGTGAAGTGGAGGCAAGGGGCTGCACGACGACCTCCAACGAGGACCCAAAACAGGACTACCGTCAGCGCTAAGCCCACCGCTCGCTGCACTTTTTGGTCGGGCTAAGCGAGGTGTGGAATTTGCTGAAGAACAAGGGGACACTCTCGACATCGAGCCAGAGCTGCCTCTCGATGATGGTCGACATGAAGTGGAGGAACTCAACGGTATAACCGATACTGAATTAGATCTTGAATGTGGCCAGGTCGAGGGAGAAGGAGGTTTCCGTGTGTCTGTCGAACGAGTTATACATTTTGAAGACAAATCAGTTTGTGACGTCTGTGCTTTGGTCTGTCTCCGCGTGGCAGGACTTGGGAATGTCTGGATGAAGGCGCTCTGGCCTTTTCTATTTATTGCAGTCGATCTCCTACCAGCCATAATCATTTTGAGCATAGGGGATGTCCTTTCCTTATCTTTAACTTTCTTCTTCATACATGGAGATCTCTTGGCCGATGTCATACTTTTACAATGCACCCCACAGTCAAAGAACTCATAAGAACTCTCAGACTCTAGGCAGCTGCTTTCGTCTATGGGCACCATTGTTGAATTGAGAAGTTGTCTTTCCTGCAGAGGGCGATAAGAAGAGTTCTTGTGGCTCGTGAAATGACCTCTCAACAAGCGCGTGGGGCTGCAACTTTGCAGCGGAGACAGCGGGGAGGAAGAATCGCTGAGTGGGGAACACACGTGGGAGGCCACGTGAGTGGGAGTGGAGCAGTGAGATGACTCTGGAGTGTTGGGGGTCGTTGGGTGATCAATCTGCACCATGGTCACGGAGTTACGAACTTTTTTGAGCTTGAACGATCTTCAAATATCTACAACACCGTACGGATTATACCTAAAATTTTTTTAAAATAATTCACAGATAAACATTTCACAGATAAATTGATGCACGAGTTGAGATTTGTGGATTAACATTTTTTAATAAAGCGTCAAGCTTTTAAACACTAATGTTCCTACACAAGTGCGACGCTGGAGGTAGTAAGCAAGGCATAAGATATAATATTCTGCATATATTTAATTAATCTTGCACTACAAATCTCACGATAAAAATATGTAGGAAATAAAGAACATGTACAGACTCTTTTCTGATCACATAATTTTGTGTTCTATAAACATTGACGGTTGGGTGCATTTCACTTGAAGTTGTGTACCGAAACTAAGAATAATCGTCACTCTTTGTTAATTAGTGAAGGTAAAGGCGTCCGATTATCTTTCTTTTGAACGATCTTTTGCCCAAGCCCATTGCTTACGATCATTCAATTCCATGATAAGTTATAACCGTTTTCACATTCACTGAGACATTTACTCATAACCGTTCTTGTATTCAAGGAGAAATTTATTCATTACCATTCTCACATTCACTGAGATATTTACTTATTACCCTTTTCACATTCACTGAGACATTTACTCATTACCATTCTCACATTCACTGAGACATTTACTTATTACCATTCTCACATTTACTGAGGCATTTCGAATTGATTATTATCTTGCATTCTTATTTATTTTTTTTCTACCGACATAAAAAATATTCGAAAAGCGGCTGAAAGCTCAGACAATGCACATTTTATGCGCTTCAACGTGTTTTTTTCCAGTTAAACGAAAAGCTCGCGCGGTACGATTGAAGCTTCTAATTCAACATATGAAGCAATGGTTCACGTTAGTGCATGGACGTATAGGTCCGTAGCGTTTGTCAGGAATGATGGCGTGGGTGGCATTAGAGCGGTAGTTTTAACTGGCACTTGAGGAGGCCACTGGAGTGCCAACCTTACAGTCACCGCGTCCTGGGCAACACTGCCTAAAGGGAGGCACTCTCCTCAGCATCCTTGCTTCCCTCTTTCTCCTCTCTCTCAGCATCCCTCGTTAACTCTCATTAGCGTTCGCGAAAATATAAAATTTAAACTTAATCTACAATGAGATGAAGTCTTATTGACAAATACACAGTTATTATCTAATAGTATCTATAAGTATTTACAAATTTCGATATCCCATTTTCATCCTGCAGTATGATCGAATCTTACCGGCATACCGTCAATGCATCTAACTTCGCCACATCGCTCAAGTCGCCGTCCTTCAATAGAAACGATCTATCATGTGAAAAAAACTGAACCATAACTTTCTAGCGAGATTGAACCACCTTTGTACATATTATGTGGCAATCTAACCTTACAAATCGCAATTTCGTAGCAATATAATATGGTTTTCTGTGCCGAGCGTCGAGGTAAGTGCAGTATCTGCTGAGTGGCGACTTATGTCTCATTGACGATACATCCTGCACGTGTCAATTCATGTGCAATTGGAATTGAATAAATGTTTATGATGTCCAAATAAGATGCAAGTAGTGACGGCATGTAGGGGTGGGGCGCGGTGTGTCAAGCTGGTCGATATCGCGCGCTGTCACTCATCTACTGCGACGCAACTGCAGCCGCTGATCCCAGCCGGCACTTCTACCCACCGGCTTCAATGTTACCTTTTCCGCTCGAGATTGCGATATCTACGACGATCGTTACTGTTAAACTCTTTTCAATAATAGATTTTAATTAAAGGTAGTAAGTTGTAACTTATTATTTTCATTCTTTTGTAAGTTTGTGAGTGGAGCCCGGAGCAGAGTTTGGAGTGACATGAGATGACCAAGCACAATTAGATTTAAATAACCTTATTTCTTGTCAAGAAGCAGTTTGCCAGAAGCGTGCAATACTGAATATCAACTTTATAATTTCATGCTGGGAACTTCAGAGCTTATGCAGCCATAAATATATTGTCGCGACGTAAAAGAGTTGATGCAGGTTCTTGAAGGAACATTGCATAGGGAAATTATTATTGGCCGCGTTTAGAAGAATGGCACGCATTCATATTTAATATTTCAAAAAGCAAAAATATAACTAAATTTAATTATACACTAATGAATGTTTGATTACTTTTCATTATGTTTATTCTATATTCCCTTTACGACACTTATGAATCTTTTGATCATTTAGGCGCGATTCCTTTTATGTTCAGGCCTCAGTTTCGCTTATTAGAAATAGCGAAGATTTCGTTCAAATGGCTGAATAGGCTTTCAGGGATCCAAGGCATGTCGAATTTCCCGCTAACCCCCGAAAAATTATCTCAGGAAAGCCTCTGTCTCAGCTGAAACCGGAATTGTCGAACGAATCAAACCCATTTTACATTCTGAATACCGAAAATTCACTATACGATTCATTCTAAATGCTCATATCGACCAATTTTCGGACTCCGGTCTCCGAGAACGACACTCGACTGTTTAAAGGCAAAATTCTAGCAAAATATTGTTGAGACATGTCTATAATTTTCAAGAGATCAGCAAACAAAAACAAACCAAACAGCAAACAAAACAAACGTGACGGGGAATATCAAGATAAAAGCAGTGGTGGGCACACTTCTGCTATTCCGCTAACCGCTAATTAGCGAAGCTAACTTTTTCCGTATCGGAATAGCATTTCAGCTAACCTTGAAAACCATTAGCAGACCAATTAGCTTCCGCTAAATTTAATTCCGCTAACTGGCAGTCCGATAACATGTTTAAAAATTTCTTCTGATATAAAATTCAGGTGTTAATACTTAATGCCAAGTATCGTTAGCCGTGTGCCACACTGATGGCTGATTACGTCTACATGATGTACGTCAAACAATCACGTCTTGTGTTACTGCTGCATATTGTAGTGGCACAAGACGTGATTGGTTGATGCAGCGTTGAGAGACTGACGCTCATCAAGGGCAGAGAGGCTGATGCTCATCAAGCGCAGAAAGGCTGATGTCCATTAAGGGCATTTGCAGAGAGGCTGATGCTCATCAAGCGCAGAAAGGCTGATGTCCATTAAGGGCATTTCTTATTCGTTTAATTCTCTCTTATTCGTTTAATAGTATGTTGAATGTCAACTACTTCTTAATTTTACTTGTTCATTAATTATTCATGTACATCTTGATCATCATCTGATCTTGGCATGCTACAATTTTTTTTGAAAGCTTCTTGTCAATATTATAACATTTCAAAAGTTCGGCTCTCTAGTTCCGTTTTTCAGAGCCTCCAAAAATATTAAGCTAAAGCTAAATTGATATACTAAAAGTTAGCGGTAAATTCAGCTAAATTTTCGGATATTCACGAGTTCAGCGTTATAAACGCTAACTTTTCAGTTAGCGGATAAACTGTTATCGAAGCTAACTTTTCGGTTAGTTGTGCCCACCACTGGATATAAGTTTCGGATATTCACAGCGGACCTAGGGCATGCCACATAAATCCTAAAAGGAATCTGCCATATAATGGTTTAAAATCCAGTATTCATTTTAAAAATTGCTAACGAACGTGTTGCCCGTTACTACACCCGCTTTGTAAAAAGATATCGATTCTTTGGTACTGCACAGGGCCGAGTAAATTGAGAGCAACGATGACCAGCAAGTCAGACAATTTGCAACCCGATCACTCGTCATGAACAAGACTTACCAATGATTACCGCCGCAACATTCGTCTTTTAATGCTTGCATAATACGAAATAAAAGCAAGCAAATACTCGAGAATAAAACTTCTCATTCGACTCAGGTATTTTATTAAAAAATCCTTGCAGGGAATGCAGCTTCAGCGAGATGATCTTAAAGCGTACAAGCTTGTGCAACACTAATGGCTAATAACAGTTACTTTTGGTCAAAAGCGATATCAGGATCATACCAGAACCTTTCTATAGCTCGAAACCCACTATTGAAATAAATTGAAAATCACCTATTTAATAAGGGAGGTAAAGAGAAATTTAAAATAATCAGGAGGCAAATTGGGAAATTTTCCTTTAATTTTAACAAAATCGGGTTACTTTTATTCGGCGATAATATGAACGCTGCAGAGGTTGTGGCCACGACCACCTTCGATTTTGCTAGCACCTGCACTTCACAAATCCTCGTCGTCTTCGGGCAAGGCCGTCTGGGAAGCCTCCTGCAAGTCGCTCTCGATTTGTTGCTGCCACTGAGGATCCATTTGAACCTCGGGGGGCAAGAGGGCAGGCATGGCCACAAACTCTAGGTTGGGATCACCAATCAGCTTACGGGCCAGCCACAGGAAAGGCTTCTCGAAGTTGTAGTTGGACTTGGCCGAAATGTCGTAGTACTGAAACAAGAAATCTCTATGTAATACTTTTCCATTTCGCATTTGAAAGATCGTTATATGATGAGACATTCTGATGTTTCAACAATACAAGCACCATCAACAACGAGACTAGACTCTTCCACTTTCACAAACAAAGTAATAAACAATAGAATCTTACATGAAAACACCATTAGAAGTAAGGTGATTGAAAAGAGTACGGAGATGTCACATTCAAACTGACCTGGAGATTCTTCTTTCTGTGGAAAATGATAGACTTTGCTTTGACTTTCCTGTCCTTGACATCAACCTTGTTTCCGCACAAAACTATGGGGATATTTTCGCACACCCGGACGAGATCCCTATGCCAGTTGGGCACATTTTTGTAAGTAACACGTGAGGTCACGTCAAACATAATGATGGCGCAGTGGGCCTGGATGTAATAACCGTCACGGAGACCTCCCAACTTCTCCTGCCCAGCTGTGTCCCATACGTTGAACCTGGAAATTAATGAAATATTCATCTTAATATTCAAGTAAATGATCTAATTTCACATTAAAAAGAAGCATTCCGGTTACAGTAGAAAAGAATGTCCAATTTTTTTTGCTACTAAACTATTATGAAAGAGACCAAACAAATTCTCTTGGCGTTTATTTATATTGAATCAAGATTTTGTCTAAAACACTTGTCGAGTTTTACCTGAGAAACTCTTGAGACAGTGAAAAAGGTGTCAATTGTCCTTATTTTAGAAGAAATTAATATCAAATACAGCTTTACTTTGGAAATTAAATAACACTCAATATGAATTTCTGTCAATTTATCATATCCTATCAATACCAACCCATTTGTAACAGCGATGATAGTAATAACCAATACATAGACAACCTTTGAATAATGCATGCACCACAAGGCTAGTGCCACAAGGCTAGATAATAATCCAGAAGAAATAGACAACAAATGCAACTACCAATAATATGTGTAAAACATGTTACACGACATTATTTGAAAAGATATAGAAAAATAAGATGATTCAGAGAAAAATAAGATGACTCAGAGAACTCTTATTAATTCATGTTAACACCAAAATGTTAACTTTTTCAAAGGAATAGTAGCTTCTCTGAAAATGTTGCCGTCAAAATGACACAATGACCGTGATGGAAGAAAATATTTCATAGTGGTAACAGAAATTATCAAGAAGTACAAGAACTCAGCCCTGTTGTATGCGTAAATTACAGACATTTCTGTGCTTCTCACCGTCACAAACAAGCATAAATAAGAGCATTTAAGCACAGCATTTTAGCTTTAAGAACTGTGAATGTAATGCAGGTATTAAAAAAATTACTTGGACAACAATGCATAGAATAAAGTGTTATTAATTAGGCAATGTTGGCTAATGGAATATATACTTACTTAATCTGTCCTCTATTGGTGTGGAACACAATGGGATGAACCTCTACCCCCAAGGTGGCAACATATTTCTTCTCAAATTCTCCAGTGAGATGGCGCTTCACAAAGGTGGTCTTGCCAGTACCTCCATCACCAACAAGCACCAGCTTGAAGGTGGGCATCTCCTGCTCAGCAGCGGCCATGCTTCCGTGTCTGTAATGAGGCTCGGCTGGTTAGAAGTTCATTTTTATTGTTGATTGATGCTATTCAATAACAACAGAGCCAATATATACACCAAGAAAATATTTAGTTAAATTATGAAGTTATGATACAAATATATTTAAGTAACACAATGATAATTCATAACACAAGAAAATGAATTTAATGGAGAAATCTCTCCATAAATAAACTTCTCTAGAATAGAAAACAGTTTCTAACTAAAATAAAGAACACGTATTCTGGCAAACTTTCCAATTACAAGTATGCACTATAAAATTCTGTCAAGAGATAGCTATATAAGCAATCGAACTAAACCCACATTAAGCAAATAATTCAAGAATAATTCTAGTTATCATCAGTAAATGTGATTAGTTCTCAGTCAGCTTCATATCTAGCTGACAAGTTCCCATCTATTTCAGCTACCAAGTGATTTTGTGCATTTCAGTTCAAAATATTTCATCCTAATCAAGTGGCAGATCATAAAAAGCTAACAGGCAAAAAAAATCAAGCAAGACATGAACAACAAAGGATGAAAAAATGAAAACCAGCAGTAACAAAACAAGCTATGAACAACAGTAGCTCTAGCATGCCAGTGACCAATAATTAGCAATAGTCTCCAAACAGCAACTGGTTAATCAAAACCAGTTGATCATAAATCATCTTCATAAAAAGCATTCCAAGAGGACTTCTTGTTCTTTAGTGTTTTTCATTAAAAATATGTAATAGCAGTGTATAATTTATTAATGAAAGCACAAATTTGATGTGGCCCTGAGGTGATCCATCAGGTTTCAGATGCTATGCACTCAAATAGATTCATACCAGAACTAAAATCTTTAGATGAGGATAGCCTTCCCTCTGTTTGGTCAATTTTTACTCCTCACACACAAATGAAAGCTCTTGTATCAGCTTAGAGATACTAGCTTTTAAATGTAGCGAATTGATAATGCATAAACATTGTCCATTTGACATGGTATGTCACCTTCCTTCATGTCTTTAAAGTTCAACTTTCTCTAGTTATAGTCAAATGGGGTAAGATAGGATCGCAGCCTTCATGGGGTAAGAAAGGACCAGCCCATGCGTGCATTCTAATTGCACTGAATTCAATTTGACAAAAGAATATGTTAGAACAATCATTGCCTGTCATTTCAGTGTTTGTTTCAACCCTCTTGTGCAAATAATGAATTTCTGGCTAATTTCAAAGAAAACCTTTGTAAAGAAGGGTCACAAAATAGCTAACCCTGTTTGGGAAATAAGCCCTGTCTAATGACAAAAAAATTTTTGGCCAGGTTTGTGGATGTAGGCAGGTAACCTCAAGTAATAGGCAACTTTTTAGACATACTAGGCATTCCTACCTGCTACCATCACTGCTTGACGTGTATTCTAAAATGGGGTAAAAAAGGACCGGACATGGGGTAAGACGGGACCACTAAATGATCCTGTTTTACCACACAAGTGGTCCTATCTTACCCCACAAATGGTCCTGTCTTACCCCACAAATGGTCCTGTCTTACCCCACAAATGGTCCTGTCTTACCCCACAAATGGTCCTCTATCACCCTACAGTTTATCAAAAATAGTTTTAAAATGAATATATTATTGTGTAGTACATGGAGTATTTTGGTCAAAATTTTCATCTTTTGCTCAAACTTCATTATAAGTTGTTAGCTTTTTTAATTATAGAAATTTAGTGCACTAATTTAAATTGCATCAAAGGGATATAGAAAATAGGGATGTCTATTCCCATTAGTGAGCTGCAGAACTATGTACAAGATTGGCTGGGGGAAAAATCACTGTGTGAAACATGAAAAATAATTTTGATCACAACTCTGTGAGAGGGTATGAGCTATGTTTGAAGTGCACCACAAATGCAGTTAGCAAGAAAACACAAGAGGTCTGATACTTAAGTTATTATCCATTGGTTTTATTACCAATTTGATGAATTTTTCAGACAATGACACTAATGGAATATACATGAAGCATTTAGCAGTGCTCTACAATGAATCAAAGCCAACCCACTATTACTATGCTTAACAAAGTTTTCTTGTGACAAAAACTTCAATGTGACTGATATTAGAGTTGACTTCCTTATATAATTAATTTTTCTATGGTATTTTGTTGTATCTACTGATTAGTGTCCAATAATTAATGCATACCAGATAAACACAGCAGCAAATGTTTTCATTTGTTGCCCCTACCCTTCTCAGGATCAGGGCCCCAGGGACATCACTGATTATTTAGTCCCATAGGGTAGTGAGCAAAATTTTAAACTGGATCAGCCAATTCAAACTGAGTCAAAAAATCCATTCTTTGCCACTGTGAATTGATCTAAATATTCCCAGAAAGTCACACTAAGTAGTAAATTAGTTTTAGCATTAGTATCCAATTCAACCTCATTTGATTGTAGATTCATTTCATGTTCCAAATAAACAATTTATCAATTTGATGTTGCAGAAAAGGATAATTCTAACACATCAGTTTTAACTAATTTTGCAATGATTTTTGCATTTTTGTATGCCTTCAAGCTTAAATTGATCAACAAAGGATTGGGTTTGGGTCTACAATATTTGTCCAAAATGGGAGACAATAACACCACTAATTTCATCACTTCAGCATGTCATCAAATGCTAGGTATTGACTGTGCCTTAACACGTTGGCCGCGATTGCGGATTTAGCCCGAATGCCGTACAGGCGATAGGTTCAAACTTGTATATCTTCAGTTACCCGGCAGATAGCAAGGAGAAAAGTTGTGTGCAGCTCTGCAGGGGTATGTTCTGTCATTGTGTCAAGTAAAATTTGTGGCCGCATTTGGTGCACATCGCTCAGGGTTGAAATTCGTCATTATTCCTGGCGATGTGTACCAAATGAAGCCATGCCTGTTGTGGCTCATATTGGCTCACACCGCCTATCGTAATCACTTCTAATACTGTGGGTGATGTGTACCAAGCAAAGACATGCATCTATGGCTCATATTGCAGAAAAACGCCTAAAGTTATCACTCTTATCACTGTGAGTTTTGCGCGCAAGAAATCTACATTAGTTTTGAGTCATAACTGCACACATTATGACTACCAGTATCTCTTAGCTTTTTGTGAATGATGTATATTATGCATGGAAATTACTATGGAAAGAGATTGGTGTCAAGGTTTTCATAATCCTGAATAAAATTGAGGGTATTTACATTGTTAGTTCAGTTATATTTACCTTATAGAGATCATTCATCGTTTATATTGTCCTGAGCAGTGAGCTTCTGTTACAAGCAGCATTTCAGAGAAAGAGTAAAATCAGGATGTATATCTCAAATTATCGAGTGGGACAGAGGACAGCCCACTTTCATTTAAAATATTTTACTTTTTTTAATGCAAAGATAGATATATATATTGCTTTCATCAATGGACACAAATTTCGTAATTTTTGTATTACTTGCATTTGAAAATAAAACTATTTCTTTAAGCAGTAGTTGACTTCAAAGCATTCCCTAACATGCCTATTTAATTGCATCATTGAAATTTTAAATTTGAAAGAGTAATAAGACTTTATAAAAATATGTATTTTTCATATGAATGTACCACATGTGTACACATCGCGATTCTGAGAAGTACAGCGTGTACATATATGGCGCACATCGCGGCCAACGTGTTAATAAACAGCCTTATTAGGCTAGTCAACAACAGATTATTTATAATACAATTCGATTCTTCTATCTGCGTCAAATTGTTTATAGTAATATATATTGGATAATGCTGGTATCCATGATACTTAACTTAATTCCTAACTGGTCTACTTATTTCGTCATTGTACTTGACACGGAAAGATCTAAAATAAAATGTTTTGTGATGCTCGCCGCCATACTTTGATACTATCCTGTATTATAGGTACTATCTACTACCAGTCAAATAATATTATAAAATCAATCAAAGATAAATCAACTTCGCACCGCACCTTCCATTCCGCGAATTTTTAAATTTTTTATTGTTTTCTCAAATAATTGCTCGAAAGGGACAAGAAATGAGGTAGTAAGAACTGCGATAATAACACGTGATCATAACAAAGACCGACACGAGTGGCGACCGAGTTCTGAGAATGGACTGGAATAAACCAGAAATGTCGTCTGCGTAATTATTATGCCAAAGACCTAGCATAAATGGGCGAAAATGTAAAATATCACTTTATAGAGAATAAGGATGCACATCAATTATGGGATAATAAAATTCTACTAAAAATCTTAGGTTTTCTAGTTGAATTCCGCGTGCACTTCCCATTCAACTTTGGTTTCACAGGAATTTGGCATCTAGCTACTTCAATAAAGTGCAAATATTAGAAAAAGTACAGATGCAACTAAAATAAAAAGACACAATACTGTTCAAACACAATTTTAACGCACAATAATATTGTTTAATACCTTTAATACGATGCCGAACTGGAGAATAGGAACCAAAAATCTGACCGGTCGCTAAGGCTGTACGGCTCAGTTTCCTGTCCACAAATGACTAATGGCGGCGGCGCGACCGCCGAAACTTTCTGTGTGCTGGATGATGTAAACGAAAAAAACATGAATTAACTCTACCGAAGAAATTCAAAATTAGTAAATAATTTATTTTTCAATACTTTATTGAATTTCATCGGTTTATATAATCCATAATAATTATATTTCCAATCAAATAAAATTTTAAAAGATTTTACTGCTTCTTGGAAGCCGAAAGAAAAAAGGCGGGAAAGACATTAAATAAATCATAATAGAACACATTACGCAAAATTACCGCTAACAGAACTGTACATAGACTAGATGAAGCTGAAATTTATTGTCAAGGTTCAAGTCAATTGTCATTGAAAAAGTTCCAGTAAAAGCGTGCAATTGTTTATATGAATCTAAGATATCCACAATCATGGTTGAAAACTTGCCTTCGAACTTACAACTTATGTTCCTAAAATAGATTTGTACATAGGTAACTAACACGGCCGTGCCTCAAGAAATTCATCGTACATGGAATATCTTCCAAACTACTGAACCGATTTCAATGAAACTTGGTATATAGATTCCTGACCACCTAAAGGTGATGTCTAGCCCGTGTGAATTTTCGCGATTTCGCCCGCGTTCTCGATTTAGGTATACGGTAATACGGGCAAAAATACGCATCGTACATGGAATATCTTCCAAACTACTGAACCGATTTCGGTGAAACTTGATAAATATATTCCTGACCACCTAAAGATGATGTCTAGCCCGTGTGAATAGGTTAGGTTAAGTCCATGTACGATGCGTATTTTTGCCCGCATTACCATATAAATCGAAAACGCGGGTGAAATCGCGAAAATTCACACGGGCTAGACATCACCTTTAGGTGGTTAGGAATCTATATATCAAGTTTCATTGAAATCGGTTCAGTAGTTTGGGAGATATTCTATGTACGATGAATTTCTTGAGGCACGGCCGTGTATCGTACATGGAATATCTTCCAAACTACTGAACCGATTTCAATGAAACTTGGTATATATATTCCTGACCACCTAAAGGTGATGTCTATCCCGTGTGAATTTTCGCGATTTCGACCGCGTTCACGATTTATACGGTAATACGGGCAAAAATACGCATCGTACATGGAATATCTTCCAAACTACTGAACCGATTTCGGTGAAACTTGATATTTAGATTCCTGACCACCTAAAGCTGATGTCTAGCCCGTGTGAATAGGTTAGGTTAAGTCCATGTACGATGCGTATTTTTGCCCGTATTACCATATAAATCGAAAACGCGGGCGAAATCGCGAAAATTCACACGTGCTAGACATCACCTTTAGGTGGTTAGGAATCTATATATCAAGTTTCATTGAAATCGGTTCAGTAGTTTGGAAGATATTCCATGTACGATGAATTTCTTGAGGCACGGCCGTGGAACAGGCCGCGTTTTGTCCGAGAGGTCCTGTCCCCCCTCCGTAAGAGCTTACTGACAAGTCTATGGAGGCGCATGCCGGAGGAGCTTTGCCAAACTTCACACCTAGTTCATGTTCCTTTCCGTAGGTAAGAACGCTAGAGGGCATAACAGCCTATAAAGTCAAGTGCTCAATGCCATAGCGCCGGATGTCCACAGCTACAACTTGAGCTTGCTAAAGGCAAACATGGCCATACTGCATCTGGCCAAACCTGCACAAGTTGCACAATTTCTCTATCCAAAACAAACCTGAGCGGACCTAACCCAACCTCATTGGCTGCAGGAAGTTAGAAAGGCAATTCATGTGTGCTAGTAGAGCCAGTCATTGGCCCCAAGAAGGTTGTGAGCCGGGACAGCGTGAATAAGGTAAGCCGGATGAGGAACTGTCTGCTCATGAGCGAGCATGCTTAAGCATTGGCTGAAGACATAGGGCGCTATTACTTTTCTGCAGTGCGTAGCTGGTCTGGATTACGGAGTTCAAGTGTAGTCTGCGGCTTCTAGCTCTAAGGCTGAGTAAAGTTAATGTATGGTGAGGCTGGGTGCCAGCTCTACGGCTTATTTACGAGTAAAATTCGTGGCCTACGGCTGCGCCCCCAGTCTATGCTCGTCTGAAGTTACACGAGATCTCGCGTTCCAAGGGGCATTGTTACTAAACGCTTCACCATAAGGCTCGTGGTATGACTATGGATATTATTTGCAGGATCTAGTTGCTATATATGCACGATTAATTGCAACTTTCTTCTCCGTCGCTCTCGCACAACCGGCAGACGTCTCGTGTAAGCGACTTCTTGTACGCGAGTCCCAGTTTCTGTTGCATTCTTCCTGGCCTTTCGTCTCATTGAGATGCTAACGCTGTTTCATTTTTTGCCCGCTTTAGCGACCTGGCCGCTTGAGGCTCCCCGCTCCTTGTGTGCGACGAATGGTATACACCTATATAATATAATACAATTTTTTCAATAATATAGACCTTTAGCCTTATTGGCACGTTTATTTCCAACTGTCATTGCGAATTAGCTTAATAGCTGTAGCGCTGATTACCCTTTCTAATGCTATTTAACTCCTGTACGTCCACTCCTAGTTCATCAAGATCAATTCCGTAAATGATTTTCAAACATCAATGTCACAAGAAAATGAGTGCCGTGTAGGATATGAACGTTTATATTGACTGAAAATGTCATTATTATTGTTGTTGTATGATCTTAGGGTTCGCCAGGAAATATAATGCGATTATTCAGGAATTATGATTAGTATTTTCCACCGAACTTCATGGACTCAATTCCGAATTTATATGGGAACTTACAACCCAAAGTCATCACACAATTCTCTTCTTTCTTCGAAACACGAAATTTTAAATCGAAAGCACGAAAAAAAGGAATATTCAGGCTTACACTTTTACTGAAGAGGTTCGTCGCAAATGATGGCAGGTTTGCTAAAATGCCCACCCACATTTATTTTTCACTCCATAACAAGCTGCTAACGATAATTTGCAAGTCTGCACAGGCGTCAGGGTAAGTAAATACTGAGGTCGATTAGTTCCAAGACTGAGAAGAGATATCAGTATACCAAACAAGAAAATTTACTTGGAAAGATTCAGCTAGGACGCAACCTTTTATTCAGTATCGACTGGGACAGACACTGTGCGAGTGATAAAGACACCAGGAAATCAATAGATAAATAAAAAATTCGAAGTAAGTGGTGAACATACGTTATGCATAGAAATCGGAGACTATTCAATTAGTAGGTCTCAATTCAAGTATGGAATTAAATGAGAATCAATTGAACTGAAACAAAGTAGACCAAGCCACTCCAAATTTGCTCAATACTGAATCATTACAACATAGTTTCTGTGAGAGCTGCATCAACAGAGCCAAGATAATGCAATTTAAAATACGTGAATTGAAATGAATTTTATTTACACTACACTTAATTAGACAGGCAAATTACAACGTTGCGTAATATGGAAACATCTGCCTCAGAATCAGATCACATTTAAAACGACGGCAGTTTAAAAGTCCCTCCGGTGGTATCTTTCAGGGTCAAAATAAGACGTTACCACAACTCTGCTAGCAAATTTCCGCCCTGTGAGGTTCTGTTGAGCTTTTTGGCAATCCAGGACACTGTTGAACTCAACAAACACCTTGCCAACACCGGGCACCTCAACACCCTCTACAGGCCGAGGGATTTCAACGGAACGCACGATTCCGTAACGGCTGCATTCCTCACGAATATCGTCCACGATATCCTCATACTCCTCGTCATCCTTCAGCTCCTCAGGTGTTACCTGCAACACACGCCAAGTTAGAAACACGGAATTTAATACCCCGCGCCCAAGTGCGACAGGCATTGTGTCAACATCTGTCGCATTCAAAGGATGTAATTAGGCTTAGAAGGAACAGTTTAAATTCAACATCTCAGAAGAAAAATTATAAAAGCTAACTCACAAAATACTTCTTCAACTAACCAAGTTTGGGAACTTGTAGTCCGTTAAAATGTTGGAATGTACTGTACGACATTATTCCATCAACAGCGCGTTAAATAAGATGTGAATCAACAACACATTTCAAAAAGCTACCAGTCCGGGACCACGGAAATACTGAGATATGCGGCTAATTGTACTACAAATACTTTTATATTGTATAGTCTGAAGCTTCTCACCATGTTCATTAGAGCCAATACTTCAGTTGCAGGCCCAGAGCTGGACTGCAGCTGCAGCCCTGGCACCTGGATCTGCACGGGCACCTGCGCGATGGCGCTTGTGTTCTTGGCCCCGACGATGGCGCGCTGAACGACAAGCTTCTTCTCGCCGAGCTGCATGCCATTCAGGCCTTGGATGGCCTGTCATATATACTCAGAGCTCAATATCAAATGTACACAAGACAGCTGAAACGATGCTCCAAGATACGTGGGGAATATGTTTTCAGATAAAATCATGTAAATTTTGTGGTTCTTCAGAAATAATTATCTCAAATACTACACACGTAAGAGAGTAATTAATTACCGATTTCAAGCTATTAAAAGAAGAAAATCTGACCTGGTCAGTGAGGGAAACGTCGACGTATTCACAGAACGCATAGCCTTTTGACAGTCCCGTAGAAGAGTCCTTTACCAAGTTGAAGGCGCGAAGTTGCCCGAAAGACATCAGCAATTCTTTAACCTGGATGGCGAGATGAAGACCACCAGATTACACATCAAAGAAATAAAATAATGGATCAGATTATATAAAGTATTTTATCAACATTTGACTATTGACTACACTTTGAGAAATGGTCAACACTTCACAGCAACTGAATTGAAATTAACATTCATGAAAACCATAGTGAAAAATCAAAATTTCAGTGCACCATTCAAAAGCATATTTCTTACATTTTTCTTTAGAAATTTGTGGGCTTTTTACATACCCGAGTTCTCTCCCGCATCGGTCGAACGGTCATAGAGCAGTTGAATAATGCAATCAATAACCAGCAACCATGATCACGAATAAAGCCACCAGACTGAAGACTAACATGAAACGTGCGCTTTGTTTCTTCTATTCCGTCCGCTATTTCTAGAAAAACGGACGCTTTTCTTTTCAGTTCAATGACAGTAAACCCGTTATTCTTTTCATCTCTCATTAAGTAACGGGTTGGCAATGGGCAAAAATTTATGTTCAGTAAAGTCTTAAGAAGCAGCCATTAATATAATACGGCCTCCCTCTCGCAAAAAAAATCCTGTTCCCGCCGGACTTATTTACGTTTCTTCAAGAAGCGCGATGACGGATCAACCGTATTTTGCAAAACGACCTAGTCAAAAATGTCTAAGTTTCAATGAGCTCAAGATCACATTTATAGGAATTAATCGCAAATCCGGGTTGGAATCAGATATTTAAGCCGTGAAAATCCATAAGTTCAATAATATTTCACAGAAGATATCTTCTTCCAAGTACCACCACAAGGGTGCGGGATATGGAAAAGAGTACGACCAAAAACAACACAAAGCTAGCCAACACCGCGTGATAACCGCGCCACGGGGGGTCACAACACACCAGTTGAGACCCTCACTGCAAAGACAAGAAGGCCTACAGGACTGAGGGTTGTCCCGAGCAGCTACTACACCCAACACTTGCCTTGATTAAGAAGCACCAATTAAAGGTGGGAGCGCGTAGGCTCTAGCATGGCACACACACAATTGGTGCAGTGCATATTAAGCCATCGACCCCTAGCTACGGAACAAATGGGGGAGAAGAGAAAACCAATTTAGTAACCGTGATAGTTTGACAAGGAGAGCGCTTTTGATAAAGATTCTAAGAATCCGCTGAAAAAGATACCTGCAATAGAAGACAATATGGTGACCGCCAACCACCTGAAAACCTGCGAACGAATGCCTCTGAAGCTCCGCACGCCTGGGAACGCATGATCCTACAGAGGCACACTCAAGGACTTGGCAGGTCTTCTCTCCAGCGTCAAAGTTAGAACTTGGAATATAAAATATACATCGTCCAGATTAAGTTGACAGGGAACAGAATTCCAAGCCGAGTCCTTCAGTGCACCACCACGCAATGCCACACAATACAAAATTTAAGAAGAGCCTTCCTTCACAATCTATGAGCAATCACTGTTTCGAATCAATATAATTGCTTCATGTATGATAAAAAAAAAATCTGTACAGAACCATAGATTAGTTTCCTTCATGGCGATAGCTGTAAGTCAAGTCTTGCCACTTAACTCGAAATGTAAGCTAAATTTGTAGCTAGAGGTTATGTGTCCAACCATAATAAACAAAAATCTTGCGATTGTGATTAATTAAATTCAGATTTATTTTGTAATATTTTTGATATATATTTCTGTCATTCTGCAATTCGTGCAAGTTCAATGACACATCACAGAAAGGCATGTCTTAAAATCCCTAACATAACTTTTCTATCAGACCAAAGTATGCCCGTGAGAAGCAGGCTTCGCCTATCATCTATTCGGTAGCCCAACTGACCAGCACTTGCTTGTGGTATATATACCCTCCTTAGAGTGCCGAAGACCGTCAGTGGAGTGACCTGCTAGAGTGCTGAGCACAGCAACAAATTACCTGATCCTCGTTGAGGTAGTTAGGTAAACCTCCAATGAATATTTTGTTCGGAGAGTCAGGCACCACCGTCGACACGACGCCAGCAATGACTGGCACATTGTCTGCACAGCACCGACATTCGCAGGTAAATCACTCCAGTATACATGTAAAAGCTTGTGTCTCATTGCGAAGTAGCAATTGAAAAAAAATTATAATAACTTAATTAATATTATGATAATAAAGCAAAAATAAATTTCTATACAGATATGAGCTTTTAGTCAGAAATTAGATAACTGGCCGAATATATGATAAAAATAAACACTGTGAATTGTTGCATGCGGTTCTCGAATTTCATGGAACATGGTAAGAAATGCTGCTGTGAAGGGACGAGTATAGAGTACCTGGCATAGAGAGAGTTGGGTGTTCTGCCATTCCTGGCATGGGCTGGTAGTCGTGAGGTCGTCGTATCTTGAGCGACTGTCCCTTGAAATTAATGCCATCAAAAGCGATAGCTTGAGTAGCCTCGTCAATAGATCGAAACTCCAGAAAGGCGAAATTTTTGTCCAGGTTCACCTGCAAGAAGAATATCATAATCTTGATGATAAATGGTTACAGAGTGAGGAAGCACTTAGCACCTGCTTACCAACCATCTCGGTACCAAGTTGTAACCACCACGTGCTTTTTAACCTGCACGTAACTAACACGTTAAGCAGGATATGCATGGGAATCGTGAGATTCCTGCACAGTAAAACTTCATGTAAATAGGGAGGCATGAGCTGTGATGCAGCCTTACTGCCTTTCCTGCCCAAAGAGCCAATTTTCATGAAGCTTTCGTCTTGCCTGCACAGACAAATCGCAAAAACAAAATAGGTATTTTATTGGTCCATACCTGCACAAATAGGCCAGGTTACGTTGGCTTTATGGGAACATTAATTTGATAGCCGCTGATGCTAGTTCTACGGTGCGAGTTAAAGCACTGCTTTGTTGGTGTAGCATTGTAGCAAATGCGGACATTTCTCCAGGAATGACATCGAGTAATTCCTACATTAAAATGCACTGCTACGATTATCGGCCACGTGCTCCGCTTTGTCCAACTCTTATCTTATGCTCCCAATGAAAGAAACTAATTTTAAAATGTTATACATAACTCACCCGGATCTAGAAGTAGAAATAACCGTATGGTAAATTAAGAGAACCATTCTATTTACCAATTTCAAATGAGACCAAATGGTTTTACTTCACATAATTTCAAGCCTCTTCTCTATGTAAACACTGCTATTTTATGAGCGCAGTGCACAAATAATTTGTAGGAATTTTCCTATCACCGTGTCACTACGCGATCATGAACATGTAACCTTAAAATGGACTCAAATTCATTGATTGGATCTACTAGAACCGAACGTTAATAATAAAACTAAAGCCAATATAATGGCAATTCTGAGCCCGTTGGGGCTAAAATTCATAAGTTTCTCCAATTTGAGCCCAAATAGTTGTTGTGAAGCCACAATAAAGAGGCTATGAAGAGCTGAGTAGAGTGGTGTGCAGGTTGCAGAGTAGAAGCAGGGAAGCTACGCGAGTCCTGCACAAGAAACTCGCTAGAGATGGTCTGTGTAGGAGCTACACGACCATCTTCTGATGCTCTTACCATTCCTCCACCCTGGAAAGGCGGAACAGGACTGCCGTCACTCGACATGCTTCATACCATCAAACCTCTAAATTATTATGACCTATTATTTTTTAAGCAACCGTTCAAATAACATAATAATTGTCACTCAACACATTTAAACTAATAACAGAAAAAGGGGTGAGGAAAAATATGCAATTTATAAATTGAGTGGTGCCCTTATGCCCAATTGAGGGAAGCGTAAGATCAAGTGTGGGCTTGGCTAAAGCACAGCCACTTGCTTGTACTGAGTACCTGCCCAGAAGAGGTAGACATTAGTCAAAGGCTTGGGCCAAACTTCTAGGTCAACCTTGCGTCATCAATTTAATTTCAAGTTCTCCCCGTCTCTTTGTGAACTAAAGAGTTAGAAGATTTAGAATATTTCAGTCGAACCTAATACTAACCTGGCAAGCGAGCACAGGGTTGCCAGCAGCCTGAGCTAGTCCAGCAAGATGCATCTGCTGATTGAAAAACTCCATAACTTCTTCTTCGGTGACGCCAAACGGCATGTTGCCCACATACAGCCGCCGCGCTTGCCGCGTGATGGTCGAGCCAACGACAGGCACTGCAGCAGCAGATGCCGCCGAGGCCGTCACTTCAGGCAAGATGTTACTAGGAATCTGACCGGCAGCTGCAGAGAAAAACAGAAGCATTACTCAATAGACTCATTTTAGTCAGTGATAATGATAAATAAAACAAAACTTTATTTCAGGAGAAAAATTCATAACACTAAATGACCGAATTTATTGAGGTGATACCTCTGCATAAGAGTGTAAATAAGATCGCTCCTCACCAATAAGCCCAAATTTGCAAGCACGCACAGCAGCTTTCATCTCTTCTATGAAAGACAAAAACCGAGTTGAAAACAATGAGCAATTCAAGGCGTATCTTACCTTGCATGGCCTTGTACTGTAAGGGAGTTATGTGCTCAAAACCTGGAGGAGGTTTGTCCCAGTAAAGTGATGGCTTCCTCCGCCTACTCTTGCGGGAAGACTCCTGAGCAGACGACTTGGAGCGTGAACGATTACGAGACCGAGATCGGGACCTGCCAAGGAAGACCCTGAGTGCTAAATTTTGCATGAGGAATAAAAACTTTTCCTTATAAACAAGTAATAAACACATAAATTGAAAATATTTTGAAGACTTTTACATTCAAATCTAGATTTCCCAATCACAATATAAATGAACAGTTGAAGTAGGGATAAGGGTGAACTATTTGCAACCTTAGATAACACCCAGCAGTTTTTTTACAATTAACTTTCTAAATGCTTGCAACAAACATCTAATGGGATTATAATTAAATTGTTACAAAATTTAGTGAAGATCCACTCGACACATTAAAATAAATCTTCAATTTCAATATTATATGAGAACAGGTTCACAGGTTAACTACAAAATTCCCACTGTAACCAAAAATACTTCTAAAAAAACAACCTTTACAAAAATAATATATGTAAAAAGTTGATTGTAATCAACAGTTTCCTCAAATCTGGTGGCAAGAACTGACAAAAAAATTGGTGTTCTTTTCTAGGTGCTGAAGGTGAGTCCACAAGATTTCACTAGCATCACCAATCAAACATGCCTATTTGATTATTATGACACTACTTCACCAAAGCAGGCAATCTGTTTTGCATGATGCTGATCATAAACACACTCTAAAATGCTGGAATCTGGAATCAGAGTTCATAAAAAAAATAATAATACATAATAATATTACAACAATGAAAGGTGAATTTCTCCTAGATCATTCATGAAATATCTAGATTGTCAGTTACCTCCTTCTCCTGCGATCTCTGGATCTTGACCGACTCTTTCTCTTGCGGTCCTTGTCCCGATCTCGGTCCTTGTCGCGATCCCTGTCTCTGTCTTTGTCTCGATCCTTATCACGTTCCCTGTCTCTGTCCTTGTCACGGTCCTTGCCATCACGATCCTTTTTGGAATCCATATCTCCACCGCGATCTGAACAATAAGAATAAATATAAGCAGTGTAGATAAATACAAAGAAATGGGCTTGAATAGTATCCTCTGTGAAGTTACATGCAAATAAAATCCATATGATGACGGCCTAACAAATGGACTTGCAAATGAATGAATCAGGAGATTTGCATGCCAGACAGCTAGAGAATGCATGATATTGCTGAGGATGACTAAGGAAATCATTCCAATGTTAAAGCTTCTAGATGTAGCAAGAAATACCCAACAAATGCAATAAAGAGATATACTTTATGTTTACTTTTGGAGTATTAGTAGCAGAAAAAAGCGCTAAAAATGTTTCATCGCCTAGTGTTTCATTCTAGTGTTCCACTCCTTTCAGCAGACTAGCAGAGTGTACTTCAAGGAATGGTGGAATTTAGATTAAAAATTTACCAGCTATAGGTACCATAAAATGGGGTAACTTAGACCACTTTTTTTTATAAATGATGCCATTTTTTTACTAGCTAAATTAAACTTGAATTGAAACATGCAAAATACAGGTCTATACTCTAACTTCACTCACCATAAATTGCTGGCTCCTGCCTCTCATAGTCTTTATGTAATTTCAAAAAAAGTGATGGTCTTTGTTACCCCGTCAGGGCTGATATTAGGTGGTCTAAGTTACCCCATTTTACGGTACCTCAAACCTTTGTCAGGAGCTCAATCTACAAAATCAACTGAGATATAATGGAATATTTTTATTTTACATCTAATTTGGGACCAATCTGGAATATTGGGAAAAATTTTCTAAAAATCACACACAAATTGTAAAAATTAATTCTTAAGAAGACAATTTGCAAAAATTTGCAGTTTTTTCAAATTGTTCTTTGCAAAAAATTAAGTACTATAAAAATGGCTAAAATTGAAAGCAAACACTGGCATTTTTGTGCCACTACCAGGGCCACAGGTGGCTTCTTGTAATAGCCTAGCGCCCAAGCCTCCTGCAGCTTGCACAATTTTCCAGAATGTATGTGATAAATGTGCCTGAGCAGCCTGACAGTGACCCTAATGATCCTGAACATTTATTATGCTTGCATAATCTTATCCAAATCTCTTATCTCAGTGAGTAATCTGAATGAATTTCAAAGTACACAATTTCACAAAGAGTAAGAGAGTCCAAATATAATATAAATAAGGAGTTGCAACTTGGAAGTTTTCAGTAATAAATAGAAAAATTCCAATCTTGTCTGTAAATTAGCAAGCTGAACTAGCAGATAATGGTATAATGCCATATAACAAGAGCCCATCCATGTTTCTCAACATTTTGCATTTCACCCATACAAAAACCTTTATCTAGATTTCGTGATGAGTTAATCCGAGTTGAATGGTACATTAGTACCAGTGTGGAATTTTAGGAAGTGCTTGGGCATTAGGCTCCAGCACTCCAGCAGGCAGACCATGATGCGGGGGAGTGGATGCAATTCGAGGGTGCTAGAGGGACGGTGGGAGCAGTGCTGCCAGCGCTAGGTTTATAAACCTAGCTCTAGGTTTTTTTTTTTTTGCTTCCCGCTGTTTTAAGGTTTCTCATTAACATACTGACTTAATTTATATTTTTTCCAGAATGGTTTTCTAGTTTATTTTTAAAAATATAATCTAGGTTTTTTAAAAAATAGTTGCTGGCACTGGCAGCAGNAGCTATTTATCGACATCACACTACTGCATGCGTTCTCAATCGTTTATATCTCTCCCTATCATGCACGTAGTATGCTAGATATGGTAGACACAAAATTTCAGTAAATTTTAGCATGCTCAAACTGCTAAACAAGTATTGAGAAGTAGCCATTAATTAATTAATATCATTATATTAATCATCTAACAAGATCATTTAAAAATTTAATAGAACAATGAGATTCTCACTTGAAAAAATCATTTTTCAATTTAGTTTTTAAGAGAACTCAATAGTCAAGTTGCATCATTTTCTCATTTAGTTTAAGTGTTGATAATCTTCTACTGTTGAAGAGTGGCACTTTGAAGTGTCATTGCCTCATTGGACTGATTGGAGTATGGCTTTTTCCATTTTTATAATTTGAAATGTGCCTAAGGTAATGTTTAGCTAAATAATTTCTGATAAATTTTAATAATACTACTTGGCTTTTCTTCAAGCATATTTTAATTTTACCAAGTATTTCAATTTCAAATATGTATAAATGATCGTGAACTTGACATGAAGTGCAATACAGCTTGCCATTTTTCCTGATCAATCTGTCATCAACAATTTAAAAGCAAAAACCTCAAAAAGCATTAAATTTATGAAGAAATATGTGCAACTGAGGTCAAAATTATTATTAGTGGAATTTTTTCTGTGCATACCAGTGTCAGTTTAAGGAAGAATGTTGCTTTTATTAATTTATAAATGATCTTGAATATAGGAGTTAATTTGCATTACAGCAATATTAGTTTGTTTATGCTCCAAGATATGTTAGAATTGAAATCTTCATTGCACTGTGCACAGCTGGGCGCTGGCAGCCAAAATGTAATACGGCTGTCAGCGTGGGTCTGTGAGAGGTCATCTGGTTCTCCTCTGTCCTCTCCTCTAATTCAAGTTTGACATTCCCAAAACCCCAAATTACCAAGGTAATTTAAAATGAATATCTAATTGCACCATGATTAGTAGGCAACAACCTGTACAAATACCCAGATCTTGAAGAAACGGTAGTGAAACATTTGTCTTTAGGAGTTTAGGCTTTACCAAGATTGTTTAACATATTGTTCTTGGACTTGGATACTCTAGGCTACCCATTTACTGTGATCCCTGACCAGGCAAATGCATCACAAAATTTTTCAGTGTGCCAAAAGTAGAGTCAAAAATCTACAAATAATGACTTACCTAAAATATAAAGACAAAATTATAAAATCTTACTCTAGCTATTAGTGATATACTGATATGCATTCACAGTTCACACTATGACGTATGAGCGCTGTACAGTGTACCTACTAGTCTACTACTACTAGCAATAGCATTGCGACTGGCAAGGAAATTCAGGTTAATAGTGGCGAAGGAGAAGTTTTTTTGTACTTTTTCAGTCTTAGGCCTATTAACTAATAACTATCAAGTACCTAGGTAGACTATCACTACCGTAGTTAGTATCTACTCACTATCTAGGACATTGGCATTATCATACAATATAAATTGATCAAAATATCGAGTACTAGGTAGATGAGAATAGCAAGTTGAAGAAATAGTTGAAGCGAATAGAAAAAAAATATCTGGTTTGCCACTAGCTATGCGAGGATGGTTGTCACAGATGCCGGTTCAGTATTCGCTTCAAAAACGTCATCACATTGTCACTCCTCGTACAATTCTTACCGCGTTCTCTTTTCTCCTCTTTTTCGTCCCCCATTACGATGTCACTGCTGATATTATTAGAAGACTAGAAGCTGAAATAACCGACGGCAAATAACGATTTTGGCAACAACAAGAACACAAGCGCGCCAACGAACACCGCCGCCATTAGGCTTTACGGCATTACACTGTTGCCAAAGGATGAGGGTATCGATGTATGGTGAACAGAGCAGGCGAAAAAATTCGTTAAAAATGTATTAAAGACCTATACATGCTGAATCAACACAAGTTTTGCATATTATATTGATTTATTTTGACGCCTTAGGCCTCGAATCATATTTGTTTCTTACAGTGAAACATTATTATATTGTTGATGATGTCCATATTTACTTCCAAATGCACAATCTGGGCGTCTCCCGCGGTCTAATTTAATGTTCACTATGTATTTCACGGATAAACAGCTTTGTTTTAAGAATGAATAGCATTGTTGTTAATTAAAATAAAATCGATTTCGATTTTACAGAGTTATGCGTTGACAGGGAATGCAGAAATTATATTAAAAAATCAGTTCGAAAATGTCAGAAGGGGACTTTAATACGCTAAACGTTTTCAAGTATTAGTTTAAGGGCATACCCATGCCATCATTGCCATGTAAATTTTGAAACCGCATCGACACTTCTGTGAACTCGACCATTTCCAAATCACAGTTTATCATCAACATGGCCTGCGCTGTCAGAAGATGTTACTTAGCTAAATTTCCTAATTCAAAAGATAAAACGGATATTCTTTATTAATCGCTTATTGTAAGGAAAATAGATGAAAGGGGCTCAGATAGTATTGTATTTACATCACAACAGTGTATAATGCAAGCAGCGCCTGCAAGAGCTACGTACGTGCTGACGTTTGTTTTTTCGTGCATTTATCCTGATGGAAAACGGGTCTTGGCATATCAGGCCAAGCTTGTACAATACTTGCACACGTTGTCATGCAAGCTACTTTCATTATCTGGTACGCTACAGTTATGATACCCAAGTCATATAACATTATACAACAACCGCCACCATATCACGCAAACGCGGTATTGACTTGAAAATCAACTCAAAAGTTTTAGGAACCTCGTGTCCTCAGACTACGCAACATGCCAAATTCATCCACTTTGTGAGTACTTTTACTCGAGTGTAGAAGTGGAACTGATCGTATGTAATCAATAGCATGTAACGATGCAAGCGATAATGAATATCTTTACTTAGAGTTTATAATAGAGATTGCCTCTACAGAAACTTCCAATGAGCACCAAGTGTCTGTATAAAGCCAGTACACGGTAATGTCCTTCATTATTTTAACAATATTGCGGTTGCGATGCGCAAGCAAACAAGAGCAAATAAACAATGTCGATGTTTGTTCATTGGGCTGCAGTTATTCTTATTCCGATTTTACTTGAAGGGACTGTCTAAAAATTTCAATTTGACATTATATGTCAGACTGAGATTTAAATATGAAATGTCGAGCTTCACGTGCCAGAGAACACTTTTCAGAAGATGAGACGGGAAAAAGATTAGAAAAAAGTTGTTTTAAAAAAATCAGCGAATTTGATTAAAATATAAACTTAATCGAAATGGAACATGTGAGCATTCATGATGAATGACGGCACAGGAATTAATTAGTCTTTTCATTCACAATCTCACCTAGAATTTGTACTGTTCGATTTTGAGACGAGGCATTGTTTTCATTTCGTAATTTCTTATTGACTTTTATAAAAAAATGATGTTTCCTTTGAGAATTTGTGGGTTATTTATTGGCAATGACCGTACGCCATTGATATTGGCGTACAATCAGAAGCAACAAATGCACATTATTTTAAACAATATTAGTTATAATTTAGATAGAAGTTCTGTGTTCGTAGGCAGTACAAACGCTCCGTAAACTGTGGAGTGCACATCACCAGTCGCACGACAAGGCTTTCGCGTAGTACGCAAATGCTATGAGGTCATGAACGTTCATTTACTTATTATTATANTACGTTATTGATCAGTTTAATTATAGGTGAAGAATCTGTCTCTTATACACAAGTCAGCTTGTGTTGATGTGAAAAATATTTTCTCACGGCATCGGAAACCTTTCATGAATTCCTGTTGTTGATTAAAAATCATGTATTTTCAACCATCTCAACTAGTGCGCGCGAACTTTAACTGCAATTCAAAATTTGATTGATGTACTCGTATGTCGTAGTCCTCGCAATGCGCTTTGCAGAAAAGCAAGGCTAAAGACAGGGTGGCCCAGTGGTTAAGGGCAGGGTGGCCCAGTGGTTAAAGTTCAGCTGAGTACCAAAATTGACGCACTAGAGAGGCGCGGGTTCGATCCCAGCTCTGTGCGCCAGTTTCTGGTCAGAATCGGCAAGGAGGCCGGGCGGTTAAGCACAGCAGAATTGTAGCAGTGAGTTGCGAGTTCGAGACCTCAAAATGCTGTGAAAAAGTGTGAATGTTCTGCAATGTTAAGAATCGGCGACAGGCCTACGGCCTAATAAACGCTGAAACCGCTATAATTAAAAAAAAATTAAATGAATTTAATTAGTATGAGCCAATGACAATGTGCTGCTGAGCTGAGCAGCTTCGGACGAGAAGCAGTTTAAAAATTAATGATGTTGTTCCAACAACAAGAAATAGCAATGATTCATGTTAATGAGCAACAGGAGTCATCATTCAAGAGTAGCTACTGCTTCTTATGGCGAGCTCCAACAAAGAGAACATAGACCCAACATCAACATTCAAGCGGAAATATTGAACCATGAAACAGCAGCAGTACACCCCTGCAAAAGATCTTCGGTTCAAAAGTATGCAGTTAGTTCATGAAGTATACCTGAAATTAACCCTATAAAGTAAAACTTGTAGCGTTTTATTTGATTAAAACGCAAAATAAATTAATAAACGTTTAATTAAAGGAATAATAGCGTCGTATTTATAAAAATAGAATTTCCTCACCCTAGCGCGCACTTGTCGCAGGGGACGTGCAGCAATTGTCACGTCGTCCTATAACATTCAAAGCAGAGGTAGCTCATTATAACATTCAAAGCTCAACTGCTACAGCCTGTAAAAAATAAGGTTGTGGAGTTGATGGAGCGGGTGTGTTTGCAGCTGGGCGATGCAAATATTGAGTGGCAGCTTAAGCGAGCATGTATTGTACACTACCAATTGTGTTGAGATATTACCAGGATAACTGGGATATCAACAATACTCGAGTTATCGACGTGCGTGAGTAAAGCAAAAAAAAGCATGTTAGAAGCATCCAAAAATTAAATTAGGCGTTTTGACAATGGAGGCCTAGAGAAAAGGCCTGTCCAGCGACACCACGTCAACCCACACGCCGAGTAACCTGCTATAAATTATACAGAACATTGAAGGGAGAAAATTTAGTTCAGTTTAACCAATAGAATTTATATGGATTTTTGTAGAACAGTAAATGGAGTCTTGAAGCGGCTAAAACTCATGTATTCCAAGCAATGCCATTATAACCTACTAGAATGAAAATAATGATAATAATCAAAACTTACGCTATTAAAGACTATTCAATTTAAGGCTGACTGGAAAAACCGCCATCTCCAAATTTGTTGCATTGTTTCCTCTCTTAATATTCTAATTTGCTCGCTGAAAGGGGTAAACAAACATAAAAAATTATAACATTTCAATAAATACTGTGAACAATATAAAACACAATGACTGCGCATTGACCTAACAGAAACGCATGTAAAAAATACATTGTCTTTACAGAGCTGGATATACGTCATTTAGTCTCGAGCAATGAACTGCTAATTGACAGGATGCAAGCAGTGCAACACATGCAAAGCCATACAAATATATTTCCCTGTTGATGCTTGAATTAACACAGTATACGTCGTCGCAAGATAGAAGGACACCCGGTCTTACAACACATTGTCATAGGATAGAAAATCTATAGATTGTTTAGACTATGAACAAAAATTGGTTTTATTTTCCCAGTACATGTCATTTCTACATTAGTATTTTTGTAGATATTGTCAGCAAGAGTTTGATAAGGATATTTGCACAGGTAAATATATAATTCAACAGAAGCGGATGAAAATTCAAAATAACTTCACACTAACATGGAGAACAGGTACGAAGTTTGATAAGATTTTCTACACTAATATACAACCACATATGCAAAAATTACTTGAATGAAATAATTTCCTACGGTAGTACAATACCGAATAATATGCTAAAATGCCTTACAGAAAAATTAGAGCAATTTAGGATCATACATATAACTCTGTCATTTTCAGGGCAGTGTTCGCAAATGAGCCTAAAATCTATTATTTAGAAACTGACTTTGCAATAACTGAATATAAATTGAGGTCTGTAAAATAAGCATCTAAAATAGAGACCGTCATAAGCAAAACTTCATAATCCCAGCATAATGACATTAAACAAAACATGAAATAAGCAAATAAATAAATAAAATAAAAATTAACCGCAGAAATTTTTAGTGTTGGATGCCTCTCAGAACTTAAATAATTAAGGTAGTGTTCTTTGATTCAATCTGGTAGATTTCACCCTACAAATTGAATACCTTTGAAACAGTAACCATACAGTGAGATACAACTGCGCTCCCTTAAGTGATGCTACTGCACTTGATGGCACATATCTACTTTTTAGATGGATTACACATATCCATTTATTAATGAGCTAAATATAAAAAAAGTAAAAAGCAACGAGCGTGTCCCGAATGCATTCCTAAGCTACACAAATTAAGCAGCTGAGATTCAAGTAGCAGGGGAGTTTCAACGACGTCACAGATCCGTTTTTGGCTGTGTGGGTCTGACTGGAATGGTTGTCATCTCTGTTCTTAGGCAGAGATATTCCCCCAGCACACACATAAGAGTGAGTGTGAGTAGATGCAGCAGATATAGAGAAGGCAAGGCAGGCAGGTGGCCGGCATAGCACCAGCAGATGATCAGATGAACGAAGTGAGCTGTGGCGCTGAAGTCCAGGCATTGTTTCGTTCGCTGAACCACCTTCCAGAGGCCAACAGCACTGATGGCAGAATACATGATGACGGCTCAAATAAGAAGATACTGAATGTTTCAATGTGTCTTGGTACAAACTTTATGAGTAGGAAATAATTCTATCCAGTAGATACATAAATAAGAGAAATTCCTAATAATAGATTTCAAATAAAATGCATTGCTGTATTATCACTACACTATCATATCATAACCAACAGGTAAGCTGAAAAATTATCAGGTAGCAAAACAATGTTAAACCAAAGAAAAAATTCTTCATGCATTAACTAAGCAGTGCAGCTATTGTCAGCCAAAAAAAGTCATAAACAAACCTGGTTATTGAGTTGAGTATGAAGGCAGCCATGACAGCTCGTCCATGACTCTCTCTTATTTGCAGTTCCTGAGGGAATGGAGTTTAGGTTCTTGAAAACAAATTTCAAGTAGATTAGACAAGGCATGGTTAAAAATGGCTGCATATTTTCGGAACAAGTGGATATCTTGAGACATGAGAAAGAAATATTGACTCAAGAGAACAAGGAAACATTTGATCTCATCAAAGAAACAGAGAAACACATAGTACCTGGTATCTGAAAATGCTGTCCAATGTTACATGATGACCAGTGAAGAGATCCAAAAGGGCAATCCAGACTCCAAGACCCACATAATACACAGCCTGTAAAAAAATAAGTACCATCAATAAATCACTTGACACTGTCACCACAACACATGCAATGAAGACATGCAAGGGAAAAAGAAATTATTAAAAAGGTCATCACAATTCACTTTCCTGCTATGTTAAAGATCATTAAAGCTGGGATCAATTCATTTGCTTGAAAATGATGACTATATGGCTAAGAATACAGAAAAATACTTTCAAGTACTTAGAAGCAACATTACAAATAATTGAATATTTCAAAATGCAGAATTTAACTCAAGCCTTTAAAACTTTCATTCAATGCAAACAAGCTAAATTTTTAATGTAAGGTAAATTCAATACAATATTATAACATATTCACGTGAGACATGAAAAAAGTATTCATGACCATAGAACATAAAAGGCAAATAAGAACAGATACCAAAGATTGAATGTTAATTCAAATTGAGTAGAGGAAATTATTAACTAAAACTAACCTGCATTGTGATGATCTGTGCAATTATAAGAGGAGGATCCCAGACTTTGTATCGAAATGAACCTGACATTTTTATCTGTTTGTTATCCAGTCTTGGTGAACTTTTCTGGCAACTTGGCTAGAGGAGCCAGTTTCTGGCAACTCCTCAACCAGTTTCACTTTTCTAATCTTCCTTACTACAAGAATTAGGGGAAATTTATCAAGATATTATTGTAAACTGTTGGTGAGTAGGAAATTTTGAATTATTATACTGATGAAGACATTCTCAACATTACAGGCTTTGGCCCCCTACCAGCTGGCAGGACAGGCTTAGATTTTTGGAAACATTTTTCAGGAAATTAATTAAAAAATGACTTTGGCAGCACTTAAGAGTAATTATTTATATTTTGGAAAAAGAAACAATAAATTAGCAATATATGTGGCAATATTTGACAGATTCCAGCATTGGTTAGGATTTGGAGACTTTATGCAAAAAATGTAGGCACGGGTCAAAGAAAATAGGATCTGGGGCACTATTACGGCAGTTCATGTTACTATTTACTACAGTAAAAATTATTAAAATATGACTTATAACATTACAAACACATTGACAAAGTAACTAAAGATAAAGTATTTATAAACAATTTGTTCTAAAACATTTATCTTTATTAACCACTTGGCCACGCAAATGCATGAAAGAAAATTCTTTTCGAAGTTCTGTAGAAAATTGTATTCGAGGGGATACATTGTTGTTCCCGTATCTATCTGGGTGCGTGGCTGTAATAAAGACATTTCATTGAATAAATACGCCTGAAAACGTGCAACAAATTATTGATTATTGTATTGTCATCGGGAGCTGAGCTTCCCTAAAAGTTTCAGAGCGCTAGCAAGCGGGAAAGTTGGTGAAATATTGATTGCAAGATTTTATCATCACGGACAGACGGACACGAAAGCGAGCTAAGAAAAACGTGCTAATGAACTTGAGGGAGAGGCTAAAAAATTATCTGCTTTGCCACTATGCTTAACATCGCAGAATCTTCACAGCTTGATGTGGTCTAGAGACTAGAACACACAACTCACTGCTCCCAAGTCCCATTCTGTTGTACTTGACTGCCTGACTAAAGGCTTCCTGAGTCCTTGCAAATTCTGACCAAAAAATGGAGTCTGGCGCACAGTGCTGGCACTGCTGGGATCAAACCCACGCCTCTCTTCTCCAATCTTGATACTCTGATCTTTATCAATCGGGCCACCCGCCACCCTGCCCAGTGGTTAAAGACTTAAAAAGCACTTTAAGTTTTAACCACATAACCACTAAATGCATCTTCTTTTATATTAGAGAAATGAATGACAATTTATTGGCACAGACATCATGAGGCATGGAATATATCCAATTACCAAGCCATGACTAGAACTTTTCAGCCATTTTTGGAGCAATAAGATTTCTACTCAACACATTATTTTTAGCCTTTTAGGTACCCTTTACTGTTGAACAAAGTATATGTACCTAATAGGCTAATTGAGCGTTTGAGCCCCATGATTCCAAATTGATTAAAAATATGTAACTTTGAGAGCCACAAGATTTTAGTACAAAGTAGAATTTTCCAATTTTGTTGTGGAAAACAAGATACCTTTTTAGTTGTAATTTTTTATACATTTCAAAATCTTTTTCAAATTCAATATACCATGTATAATAATGTCAGTATCCTATCCAGGGGAGTGGTGCCGCCTGTCGGAGACCACCTCTGCCATGCATTGAATTTGAATGGACTATCATGATCAGTGATCACTTCCCTCAAGAATATAGCCTATAAGCTATAACACTTTTTGACTGTAACATTATCAGCCGCAAGCGGAAGCCCCCAGACAGATCACATCCATTCATTCCATTGAATTAGACCAATCAGCCCTCAGGAAAGGGAAGTAGCCTGACGGGGAGCGCTGCCGTAGCCCAAAAACTTAACTCTTAAATCAGCCCAAAAGCCAATGCCAACCCTCTACATGCAATAGAAATAGTCAGTCTAATACCTATGCAGCTGTTCTTACTTGCCTCATCTCGCCACACCAGCTTGAAACAAGCAATGCCTCATCCCACAAACTGATACTACAAACGGATTACGCCCAATTATGCCGACCGCCAAAAATGGATTTCAGATTCGTAATCTACACCCCAAAAAACATATAATTAAAAAAAAAACACCCTTTTTTTTGGATGTAGTTAATCTGCAATAATACCGATGTTTTCAATGCTTGAACATGAGCAAGCCACTGAAAGTCTGAAACAGGCCATCATCTTTTTGCTTATTTTTGTACATGCTTGCATATTACATTTATCTAACATTTCATGTGTGATTACTTGTTGCCAATGTTGCGGTTGAGCCGATAGCTTTTGGTCCGAATAACAGACTCCAGTTAGTCCAGTACCTTAGTTGAAATTTTATACCGTTGCTTGCTTTTTTCACATAGGTGACTTGTGAAAACACTCGCTCCACAAATGCATTGGAGACTGGTCAAAGTAGAAAAGTGATGCAGTAGGCAGCGAGTTCTATCAATGAATTATGAATGGATGATGATTTTCAAGATCAGTGAAATATTGAATGGCACCCCAGAATTCAAGCGGCACTCTACTCTCTAGAATTCAAACCACCAAACAAAAATGGTGGAGCTTGCGTCACAGAAATTGAGGAATCAGCGTAACAACCTCACTCATCGGCTCATCCTATGCCATATCATCACTGATCAGTAATCAATCAAGCCTCAAGGATCAACACTCTTGTGCTTTATTGCACTAAGCACTTTTTTTAATGTTAACAATTAGATTGGGGTTATTTTATCAAGTGGTAAACTTCCGGTTCCAAAAATGCCAGGAAACCTCTAGTCGCGCCGCTCGATCTGAAGATAATCTATATAATCCACGCCTACACTGGAGGAAGTTCAAACTTCAGAGGTGGAACTTGATGCAGTAAATTTGGGTACTGACTAAAACCCGGACCCGGACCGGTCCGCCGGACCCGGACCGAGTGACTAAAACCCGGATCCGGACTGGTCCGGCGGACCAGGTTCAAAAAAATAAAAGGCTGCAAATCATCTGAAACGTCGAGAAAACTTTTAATTTCAGATATAAAATTTTTATATTTTTATATTTTTAGTCGCACCAACGTGACCAACATATTCGGGTCACAGAAAAGTTCATTTCTCGATCGAACTAATCGATAGAGAATCTTCTGAAACGTCCAGAAAACAAAAAGTTGGTATCGAATTTTCGAAAATTTACTTAGAAAAATTTAACTTCAGGTCCGGGGAGCCCCGGACCATGCGACTGATGCGAGTAAACCCCGGACCCATATATTCGGGTCACAGAAAAGTTCACTTCTCGATCGAACTAATCGATAGAGAAGCTTCTGAAACGTCCAGAAAACATAAAAAGTTGGTATCGAATTTTCGAAAATTTACTTAGAAAAATTTCACTTCAGGTCCGGGGAGCCCCGGACCAAGTCCACTCGTCGCAGGATGATAAATTTTGCAACAGAACTATGCAGTCTGAAACCTAACCCAGATGCTGTGATCTAAAAGTGACATTCTGACAGAAGCTCTCAGGCCCCACGGTCATCCTTGCGGTTGTCCTGCGGCTTTAAGTCCACCCAGCGTGGACACCCGGAAAAGAAGAAGGAAGAAAGTCTGATAGTGTGAAGCAGAATTCAAGCAGTTTTACTGTTGAGCTAGGCTGATTTACGTATAGTCCATTGCCCGCTGGTTATAGCTCGAGCTAAAGTAGAGTCTGGGTATGAGGGGAGCGTAGCCATGCACCATCAATTTTGTGCGCCAACAAGCCCTGACTGAATCGAACGCCATGGATCTCTCCGGGTCCGGACATCCACCAATCAGCCGTGAACCACTCGGCTTAGTCCTCCTCCGGCCTTGCATAGAACCTGCCGTGCAGTGTGCACCACCAGGCCGCGGATCGAATATGACTTCCGGACATCGTTAAATTACGTATTTTTACGTTGACCGCATCTGAGATTGGGATCCAGATAGCATAGTTCTGTTAACAAATTTATCGTCCTTTGACCAGTGGCTGTTCGACCGAGGGCTGGTTCGACGCACGGCCTAGATACGGATGGCTTGAAATGTTGAAGGCTACGTTCGCGGTTCCGGAAGGCAGGAATCATGATTGTGATGGTCCATTACATCCAGGGCAGTGGTGGTCTTCGGCAGGCAACCCGGTTATGAGCAGAGAGCAGTGTTGCCAGCTTTTTTCTTGGCGTGAATACGCGATTGCCTCGCTCAAAATACCAGATATTCTATTGTTCAAAACAGATTATACCTCCAAATTTAATGAAACTATTCGGCAGAAACATTGGTTAGAAAAAGAAAAACAAAATTTATGTTATATACTGCACATTTATCTGGCTTGACGATTATTAGCCAATTTGAACACGTTGTATTTTTTCCCTCTGGAACATTTTGACACTTCTCTTTTCCTGTGTTTGATTACATTGACTTTTTACTTTTTTTTATCATAGTGTGGCACTTCTTCCCCTTCACTCAACATAACTACATGAGCAACAGAGCAAGCCACTGAAACAGGCCATCAGGCATCATCCTTTTGCTTATTTTGGTACATGCTTGCATTATGCATATTGCATTTATCTAACATTTCATGTGTGATTACTGATTACTTGTTGCGGTTGAGCCGATAGCTTTTGGTCCGAATAATGGACTCCAGTTAGTCCAGTACCTTAGTTGAAATTTTATACCGTTGCTTGTTTTTTTCACATAGCTAGGTGACTTGTGAAAACACTTGCTCCACAAATGTATTGGAGACTGGTCAAAGTAGTCTAAGTAGACAAGTGATGCAGTAGGCAGCAAGTTCTATGAATGGATGATGATTTTCAAGATCAGTGAAATATTGAATGGCACCCCAGAATTCAAGCGGCACTCTACTCTCTAGAATTCAAACCACCAAACAAAAATGGTGGAGCTTGCGTTGCAAAAATTGAGAAATCAGCGTGACAACCTCACTCATCGGCCTCATCCTAGGCCATATCATCACTGATCACGATCAGTCATAGTGGCAAACCACAGCTTTTTTAGAATCGGTTCATTTTTAATTTCCTAATTTACTGAAGATTTAAACCAATTTCTTATGTATGATAATGCTGGTATCCAGGATACTTTATTGGTCTACTTATAGGACTCAAAAATGAACTTGAGGGAGAGTCTAAAAAACTCTCTGCTTTGCCACTATGCGATCAGTAATCAATCAAGCCTAGGTATCAAGGATTAACACTCTCAAGCTTTATTGCACTAAGCACTTTTGTTAATGTTAACAATTAGATTGGGGTTATTTTATCAAGTGGTAAACTTGCGGTTCCAAAAATGGCAGGAAACCTCTAGTTGCGCCACTCAATCTGAAGATAATCTATATAATCCACGCCTACACTGGAGGAAGTTCAAACTTCAGAGGTGGAACTTGATGCAGTAAATTTGGGGGCGCAGCCACTAGGTCCGCTCAGGTTTGTTTTGGGTGGAGAAAAGTTGCAGCTTGTATAGGTTAGGTCTGAAGAGGTTAGGCCAGAGGAGGTTTGGCCAGATGCAGTATGGCCTTGTTTACCTTTGGCAAGCTTATTTTGTGGCTGTGGACCTTCGGCGCTATGGCTTTGAGCACTTGACAAGTTGACTTCATAGGCCATTATGCACTCTAGGGTTCTTACCTATGGAAAAGAATATGAACTAATTGTGAGGTTTGGCAAAGCTGGCCTCCAGCATGCGCCCTGTAAATTTGAAGCAAGTCAGAAAATACCAGATTTAGGCAAATATACCAGATCTAAAATATTCATACCAGACACCTGAAAATACCAGATTTGTGAAATCTGCTATAGAAATATTCCATCTGGCAATGCTGGGCATGAGGCTTAAAAGACTCTGAAACTGGAGCGTACGGCCTTTTAAATTAAATTATTAAATAGCTAGTGGTTCAAACTTTTTTCACTGCCTGCCCACATATTTTTAACAACTTTTCATGTAGGTCTCTTTTAAGGTGCCTGTACTCAGGGATAGTACTAGCCACTAGTTCATCCGCCGCTTGAACTGTCCATGTTACTATATAGCCTTGGGTATAGGGGTTCAGCCGCTTCTGAGGCATGCGCTGGCAAGTGCCCAAGACCCGGCCAAGAGGGACTAAGATGTGTTGATTTCTGCGCTGGAGAAGTGGCTAGTAGACCTGATTCAGCCATGGAGAGAGCATCTGTGCTGCTCTTGTGAAGTATCTTGAGTCAAGTGTCATGGCTTGTTTGAAAGATAATGGTTCTACGAAGAACACAACAAAGTGGAGTCCAGACGATATTCAATTGTTCTTTGAGATATTCTGAAAATATGAATTAATGTGGAATGTTTGCCATGCTGGTTACTCCAACAAAATGAAGAGAGAAACAACTATTTTGAAATTGAAAGAAGACCTTATTAGTCAGGGACTCGGGGTTTAGTTGTTCCCAACGTTGCATTTTTAAGGGCTAGAATAAAGAGTATAAAAATGATGTACAGACTTGAGTTTTTGAAGGTGATACCACTGTCCATCTTCGCAGACCTCACTCAACAGCTGCTAATGACGCACTGGCGGGCGCGAATGAGAAGATGGCGGCACCTTAAACTCTCCTCGTGTACAGGTTTACTAGCCGGATAGTCACCAAGCAATCAACACTTGCCAGATATACTAGCCGTCTGCACTATCCCCGTGTACAAGCAACTAAGCTCGAACTGTAACCAGCGGACAATGGACTGCGATCAATCAGCCCAGCTTGCCAGTGGCTGGGAGGCACCACCAGAAAATCATTTTTACATAGCTCACAGCATCTGGGGTTAGGTTTCAGATATAGCTATGCTCCAAAATCTATCATCCATCGACGAGTGACTTTAGCAGCTTTGTTAAATTACATTCCAAATTTTAGCTATAAGCATCTGGGGACTGGGGTTAGGTTTCAGAAAGCATGATTCTATTCCAATATTTATTGTCCTACGATGAGTGGCCTTTCGACTTGAGGCTGATTTGACAAGGTCACCTGCCTAAGACCACCGCTGCCCTGGATGTAATGATCCATCATGATTCCTGCCTTTGGCTTCCGGAACATAGCGTTAAACACTTCTGGACAAACATATCTAGGCTGTGCGTCAAACCTGCCCTCGGTCGAATGGCCACTTGTCGAAGGACAATAAATTTTGGAACAACTATGCTATCTGAAACCTAACCTCAGATGTGGTGAACGTAAAATTACATAATTTAACGATGCCCGGAAGTCATATTCGATCCGCGGCCTGGTGGCGCACGGTAGGTTTTATGCAAGGCCAGAGGAGGATCAAGCCAAGTGGTTCACAGCTGATTGGTGGATGTCCGGAAAGATCCAGGGCCTTCGATTCTGGACTTATTGGTGCACAAAATTGGTGGTGCACAGCTGTGCTCCCATTCGACAAATGGGACAGACTCACTTGGATATTCACACACACAGATATCATATTCACTGCATGGCTCTGGCGCGCTCTGTCCTTGGTGTAAAATTTTTTCGCATGTTGGCAGACTATGCTGGGCCCCCGCCCACCCCCCGGCCATACTACGTCAGCCTGTCAGGCTACTTTCTTGTGGGCTGATTGATCTAATTCAATGGATGCGATCTGTCTGGTGGCTTGCGGCTAATAATACCGTAAAATGGGGTAACTTAGACCACTTTTTTTTTATAAATGATGCCATTTTTTTACTAGCTAAATTAAACTTGAATTGAAACACAGGTCTATACTCTAGCTTCACTCACCATAAATTGCTGGCTCCTGCCTCTCATAGTCTTCATATAATTTCAAAAAAAGTAATTGTCTTTGTTACCCCAGCTCTTGGGGTAACTTAGACCGGGTGGTAAAATCAATTATATTTTTTGGTAAAATAACTCCAAATAACTCCAGGTTTTGGTGCATTGTAGTAGAACTCTTCTAGTTACATATGCAAATGACAAACTTGAGGAAAGTGTCATAGTTTGCAAATGGGGGGCGCCGCCCCTCAATGGGGGAAATGTGACTACCTAATGGCAGCCCTGATGGGGTAATATTGACTGGCTTGGAAATTAAGTTAAAATTACCATATATAAGACTCTGTAGAGTCTGAAACATACAGAAAAAACATAAATAGGCTGTCAAACATAAAATATGTTATATATGGTAATTTTATATTAACTTCCAAGCCGGTCTATGTTACCCATCAGGGCTGACATTAGGTGGTCTAAGTTACCCCATTTGGGGGCGGTGCCCCCCATTTGCAAACTATGACACTTTCCTAAAATTTGTCATTTGCATATGTAACTAGAAGAGTTCTACTACAATGCATCAAAACCTGGAGTTATTTAACCAAAAAATAAAAAAAATTGGAGGGGGTACTCTGACAGGCTTTAAATAATAGCTTTTTTTCGTGGGTCACATTTTTGATTTTTTAACCTATTAGATATGCAAATTTTTTAATTCTTTCAATTGTGTTATGTAGCCTCAGTATTAGGCCTTTAATGCCCATTGACAAAATTTTTCTATGTCAAATAGTTTTTGAGTTGTGGGGTTTTTTGTTAAAATAACAAAAAGTGGTCTAAGTTACCCCGCTGGTCTAAGTTACCCCATTTTACGGTATTACAGTCAGAAACAGGAAGTGTTATACGTAGGCTACCTTCATGAGGGAAGGGATCATGAAAGTCTACTCAAAACACGGCAGTGATGGTCTCCAACAGGCACCCCTTCAAGTTCATGTTTGAGTTCTATATGTAGACCACTAAGACCAGTAAAATATTGGGTAGTACTAGTAGTTAGTACTGTGGAGGCCAGCATTATTGTGTATAAGAAATTGGTTTAAATCTTGAGATGAGGAAATTAAAAATGAACTGATTCTAAAAAATATGTTGTCTGTCATTATGGCCCCAGGCCCACAATTGATAATAGCAATTTATCATCCTACCAAACCAAGCCATGAAGCCAACCATCTCCTGTTGCTTTGCCTGTGCCTGCGTGGGGTGCTGCCGGGTGCATGGTGCTGGGGTGTGGCTACAAAAAAGGCTTGTGACACTTTAACCCTGCAAAGTGCAAACCATATTTATGTGTGTAGGTACTATAGACTATGTATAGTATCTTCTAACTTCATTTTTTCATAATTGTAAAAATGATGTTTGTTGGAATTTGAATCAGGCAGACATTTCTTGAAAATAGGAAACTTTAAAATAAAGTTGACTATGATTGCATTTTTATGATGTATTTAATAAGTTTATCTGAATTTTAACGATAGTTGAATTGTATTTTATTTGCTCTTTGTTCACAGTTGCCAGCTTGTGTGTGTTTTAAGAGCCATCCTGTGGACATAATTTCATAGAAATAGCGGAATAGCTGAAACCCAATTTTGTAAAAAGAGAATAGTTTCTTTGAGTGTTCTACTGAATGTGACAAAGGCGGAGGCAATGGGCATTGAAGATATCTCAGTGTTCCTGGAACCTCATCAGGATATTTATTTCCCTGGCCAAGCAGTCATGGGGCAAGTCAAGGTGCAATCTTCATCAGATACATCTTGTAGAGGTAAGGAAAACATTTTACTTATGTTATGAATGGAGAAAACTTTTTAAATTCTTCTATAAACCTCAATGCAATACTAGATGCTTGCATTCTTGTTTTGTATGCAATTTATGGCTCTGTATGCTCAGCTGTATGAACACTGTCAAGTACATTAATTGAGTGTCTTTGATGCAATTTGATTATGGAGAAAATTGTGTAGTTCAAAACCATTTAATCAATTGAGACAGATATTCTTCACAGTCTTGTGTAGTTGTATTACATATAGTACCATTTATGGCCAAGTAGTTGAGGCAGTGATTGATGCAATTTAACTAGGTAAAGTAGTTCTTTGCAATTCTAATTTATCCGTTTTTGTGCAGCCATTGTGGTCGAATTTAAAGGAAAAGCCAAAGTTCATTGGTCAGTCAAAGAAGGTGATAACACCAAACACTTCACAAGCAGGGAGGAATACTTCAAATTCAAGACCAGTCTTTGGTCATCTCGCTGTGAGTTATGCATGGCTTGAATGCATGCATTCTAAGTTAGTTTAGTTATAGCTTTGTCATAATCTATCTTGTATTACCAAAGATTGAGAAGTGGGTATAGTGTATAGGCAGTGACTAAAGTCATGTTTCATGTTGAGTCTTTATGGAATTTGAAATGAATCTTTTCAGTAAAAACTCTTGATTTCCTAATAACAAATTGGAAAATGTACCTTCAGAGCATAACTGATCAAAGTAATGGATAGTTATGTAATGCAAGCATTACCTTATAAAAACGAATATCTGAGCAATGTTCAAGAACCTTTAGGTTGAAATTTCAAGATGATTGTATCAATAATGTTTGCTATCTAATATATAACAAGCAAACTCATATAGTAGTAAAGTGGCATCTTGAAGTTAAATACTGGTATAATAGAACTAACAGAATTATGGCCCACTTAACACAGTTATTTGAAACAAGGGAAGATAAATCAACAGGTTAAATTTGAACATGACATAAATTAAGTATGTGACTAAACTTGCTAATCCCTTCTTCACCTAAACTAGTTAATCAAATTGTTTTAATTTGACAATAAATTACTTCCTATCTAAGCAAAATTATGTTAACAGATTTTTATTATTTTTTTTTCTTTTAATTTTACTACTTTACTCATTGTGTAATGTTCCTGTATGCAATAGATAGAAAAGAAAATTTTTGAACACAGACATAATGGGGAATAAGAGTTGAAAGTAATAAATTTAAAGCCATCCATGGTAATCCAAAAGTTGGGCTACAAAAGCACCACAACTACTCCTGCACCACACCTCCTCCTGCACCACACCTCCTCCTGCACCACACCTCCTCCTGCACCACACCTCCTCCTGCACCACACCTCCTCC